ATCTGTACCAGTTTTTGGAATATGAGCGAGAGACACTTCTCACCAGGTTAGCTGAGGAAGAGAAGTACATTAAACAGAAACTAAATGCAAACATAGCAGCATTCTCAGACTACAAGTCTACACTCAAAAGTCTACTAAAGGACGTGGCAGAGAAGAGTGTGGTCTCAGAAGTGCAATTACTTAGCAATATCAAGAGCATCCATGACAGATATGAAAGACTGAAAAGTCCTGATCTTTTTTCGTTCCAGTTAAGGAAAGAAGAGTGTGTTCTTCCTCCACTGTCCTTGGAGCTTCAGAAAATTATAAAGAAATTTAAAAGAGAAGTGACTCTGGATCCAGAAACAGCACATCCTAATCTGCTTGTGTCTGAGGATAAAAAATCGGTGACATTGGTATTGACAAAGAAAAGATCTTATTTTAATCAAAGGGGCTTTACCACTTACTCTGTTGTGCTTGGTTGTGAAGATTTCCAATCTGGCAGACATTACTGGGAAGTCAAAGTGGATGACAAGCCTGAATGGATGCTGGGGGTTTGTGTAGACTCCCTCTCCAGAAAGGAAACACAACTCCCAACAGGACAGAACAGATGCTGGGCAATTCAGCTTTGCAATGGTGACTATGTTGCACAGGGTCCTGTTCCACTCATTCTGGTGTTGAGGGACAAACCCAGAGGGATTGGCGTTTACCTGGACTATGAGTTGGGTATGATTTCATTTTACAATTTGAATAACAGATCTCATATCCACTCTTTCACTGACAGATTTTCTGGAGTACTGAAACCTTATTTCTATGTTGGACATGATTCTAAACCGCTTACAATCTGTGCAGTCACAGATTATGAATTATAAATTAATTCACAGTTTATTTTCAAAGGGTGATATTCACATGGTGGCTACATAACAAATGGACAACATTTAACAAGATAAGCTGATATTTCTTTCTATAGTTCATGTTCTGCTGATAGAATATCGTATAACTATCAGATAATCCAGCACAATATTTGTTTAATTTTTCAATGAGTTGAATAATTAAGTTTTATCTTATTTTGCTATAATACAGACTGAGATGTGAGAATCAACAGATGTTTGGGAACTAACAGAAACTTTAAGAATTTCTGAAATTCTGAAATGTGAATGTATAAATGTGTGAGTTTATAGAACTAATAAAATATATTTTGGTTATTTCTACATATTTTGCAAACATTTGCCTATTTTCTAAGTAACAGAAATTTCAAGAGAAAAATAGATAGTATCTAGGGACTCAAAATTCCCTGTTTTTGTTGTGATTGTTAGATTCCCTAGAGTCAGTACCCACCCATAGTGACCTTATGCATAGCAGAACTAAACAGTACCTGATCCTGGGCCAACCTCACTACAGTTGCCACGCTGGAGTCCATCAGTGCTGCCACTTGGCATATCTATCTCGATGGGGGTCTTCCTCTTTTTCTCTGACCCTCCACCTTATCAAACATGATATCCTTCCCCAGCGACTGTTCCCTCCTGACAATATGTCCAAAGTATGAGAGTTTGGCCATCTTGGCCTCTAAGGAGCACTGTGGCTGCACTTCTTCCAAAACAGATCCATTGGTTCTTTTGGCAGCCCATGGCACTCTCAATGTTCTCCTCCAACAACATAACTCAAAGGCATCAATTCTTCTACGGTCTTCCTTATTCACTGTCCAGATTTCGCATGCATATGAGGTGACTGAAAACACCATGGTTTTAGGTCAGGCGCACCTTAGTCATCAAACTGACATCTTTGTTCTTCAACACTTTCAAAAGGTCTTGTGCAGCAGATTTGCCTAATGCAATATGTCATTTGATCTCTTGACTGCTGCTTCTTGATAGTTGATCCAAGAAGAACGAAGTCCTTGACAACTTCAATCTTTTCTCCATTGATAAGAATGCTGTTTATTTGGTCCAGTGGTGAGGATTTTTTGTTTTCTATACATTGAGATGTAATCCATACTAAAGACTGTGCTCTTTGACCTTCATCAGTAAATGTTTTTAAGTCCTCTTCACTTTCAGCAAGCAAGGTTGTATTCTCTGCATATTTCATGTTGTTAATGAGTCTTCCTCCAATCCTAATGCCATATTTTTCTGCATAGAACCCAGCTTCTTGGATGATTTGTTCAGCATACAGGCTGAATAAGTATGGTGAAAGAATACAACCTTGTCGCACACCTTTCTTAATTTTAAAACCTTCATTGTTCCCATGTTCTGTTCAAACAACTGCTTCTTGGTCCAGGTATAGATTCCTCATGAGCACAGTTAAGTGTTCCAGAATACTCACAATGTTGTTCATAGCTTATCATGACCCTCAAATTAAAGCCTTTGCATAGTCAATAAAGCACAGGTAACATCTTTCTGATATTGGCTGCTTTCAGCCAAGATCCATCAGACATCAGCAATGATATTCTTTGTTCCACAGTCTTTTCTGAATCTGGCTTGAACCTCTGGAAGTTCTCTGTCAATGTACGATTGTAGCGGGTTCTGTATTATCTTTAACAAAACTTTACTCGCATGGAATATCAAAGAGATTGTCTGATTATTTCCGCATTCTGTTGGGTCACCTCTCTTTGGAATGCGCACAAATATGGATCTCTTCCAATCAGTCAGGCAGATAGTTGTCTTCCAAATTTCTTGGCAGAAATGAGTGAGTGCCTCCTGTGCCGCCTGACTTTCTTGAAAGATTTCAATATTTAGTCCATCAATTCCTGATGCCATGTTCTTTGCCAATTCCTTCAAAACACCTTGGACTTCTTCTTTTAGATCATTGGCTCTTGATATTGGAATGGTTGAACATTAACCATTTCCTTTTGGTACAGTGACTCTGTGTATTCCTTCCATCTTCTCTTGATGCTTTCTGTATCATTCAGTAATTTGACAAGTGAATCTTTCAATAACGAAAGCCGAGGCTTGAATTTTTTCTTCAGTTCCCCCAGCTTGAGAAATGCTGAGCATGTTCTCCCTTTTTGGTTTTCTGATTTCAGATCGTTGCAAATTTTATTATAATATTTGGCTTTATCTTCTCAAGCTGATCTTTGAAAATTTCTGTTCAGCTCTTGGACCTCCTCATTTGCTTTAGCATCTCTATACTGGAGAGCAAGTTTCAATGTCTCTTCTGACAGCCATTTTGACCTTTTCCTTGTCTCTTGTCTTCTCAATGACTGTTTGCTTTCTTCATGTATGATATTCTAGATCTTGTAACAAAATGTCTGATTACTCTAAGCTAACTTTACAATGATGACTGTCATCAAAGGAACATTGGATGACAGAGATAGTATCTCCATCCAGAGCAAAAGGAAGGATTGTTTCCTGTTCCATATATATACAAAAATGGCACTTCAAATAGATATCAGGTATGGTTACTATAGAATTGGAAATAGAAATAAAAACATACAGAGCATTATGAGTATCAACTATTAAATGTTATATTTCCGATGGACTTACATTGTAGCACTTTGGATAAGCACTGGTCAGAAGTTCAAACCCAACAGCTACTCCTTGGAAACCCTTTACAAGGTCGTTATGAGTAGGAAAAAGTAAACAGCAGTTCACAACAACAATATTTCCCATAGGCTGTTTTTTTCTTGTTAAGTGCCATCAAGTCAGTTACGACTCATAGTGACCATGTGTAGGGTTTCCGATGAGCAGTTGGTGAGTTTGAACCACTGACCTTCTGGTTCAGTCAGAAATTGCGGTTCTATGCTTTAGCTCAAAGCACCATGCAGGATATGTATATAAGCTTGTATTTATTCATTTACCTGTTCATGGGTATATGGCGGTGTTGGTGGTGTGCTGTGGAGTCATTTCCACTTATAGCGACCCTGCATAGGATTTTGGAGGATATAAATCTTTATGGGAAAGAAAGTCTCATCTTTCTCCCTTGGAACAGCTGGCAGTTTCGAACTGCTGTCCTTGAGGTGAGCATCCCAACTTTTAACTATCAGAGCTCCCTATCAATGGGCATATAGGCCACAAAATTCCTCTGCATTAAGGATGGTGATTGTTTTTATTCCCATGAGTTAACTCTTGTAGAAGTTTTATTGCCAATGACTACAAAGTCCGGCTGATCAATCTAAGCTCACCTGCATAGTTTCTAATGTAAAATGTAATAACCTCAGTTAACATTGAGAAGAAAGTAATCAAAATAACAATAGGAAAATAAGGAAATACATCAACACAGGTCACATGCACACAAAATCTTATGGATAGCTTTTAAACACATGAAAATATGCCCACCTATCAACACAATTTTTACACTACAGATTTTCCAGAGGCTTACTAATGTATGAGCACATTGTTGGTTGGTGTTGTTATTGAGAAAAGCACTGTCATATTGCTGATGGGAGTGCAAGATGGCACAATTG